TAGTCTAGCTCCGCCCCCCCTTGCATCCCTTGACCCCTCTTCCCTCCTCCATCCCTTAATCCCTCGTCCCCTTTACCCTCTCTCCTAAATCCTCCCTTAAACCCTCCTTTAGTACCTTACTCCCCTTTCCCCTCTTCCCTTAAACCCTGCCCCCCAGCCGCTCAAAAGAGATGGACAATCTCTTTTTCGCTAGCCCATCACCCTTTAACCCTGCTTTCCCTTGACCCGGCCGGCCGGACAAGAACAAGAACACTTCTTCCGGACTGGAAGCTTCAACCCAGAAACGCATCTTTCTCTTTATTAAGCAATTCTTACTTAAATCAGAGAAGAACGGAACAAAACAATTCCTAACAAAAGGGGGGGAAGCCGGTTCTCCTAAATGATCATCACTTCATCCGCGAAGAATTCCTATTTGAGTCGTAGCTCAACGTCTCGTCTTGCTCGCTTTGGTTCTGCTGCGAGAGTAGAAAAGTTCGACTCAATCTCATATACGACATTCTTTGTATCGATTGACTCCTATTTTGTGATTTGCTGTGTGTGCTTCATCTACGCAATGACTTTCCTTGTGCGTGGAGATACGTTGCAGAATATTCAGAGGAGAGTGAGGAAGTCCGTTTTGATCATTTTTGACGTAAAAGAGAGGTTGCTGTTCTTCCCTAGACCATTAATAAAAAAGAAGCAAGAAAGAGGTTTACGTTAGCCTTAGATCCCTAAAGGAAGTGTGACTCTTTTGTACAATAGATATGGATGGTGAAATAGGTCTTCAACAACCGATACAGGAACAAGCCCAGAAAGAGCAGAGTGAACCTGACCGCGGGGAGGGAGTCCTTTATTAGAGCTCCATTGTGGATGAACGGGGGAGGTTGCCTTATAGGAGGCCGATGGAGTCAAGAGGGGAGCCAGGACTTGGGTAAATACACTGGAGAAAAAAGAACCCTATCATAGAATAATAGGAGACCAGGCACAAGAGAGTTCTTATCACACAAGAGTTCAACTCATGTTTTCCGAAGAACCCTAATCTCCGACCAGGCTGGATAGAGCTTCGCTCAATACCCCTTACCTACAGTCCAGATATCAGGTATTCAAAATTGATTCTATATAAGTCACGATTATATATCGTTCAGAAATGCACGCTATACTTATACTTACAGGTCTGACTACTCCTTAGAAGGGATATATAATCATCCCTAGAAGACCGACGAGCATCTACGTCCTCACTTGTGAATTTAAACACAGTGTTACATATTCAAAGTAAGAAGTCACAGTTTCATCGATCTTTTTCTCCCATTTTTTCTTATCTTTAGGAGATATTTTCTTAACCAGATCTCTGAAGATATTTCTTATATAGTCCTCATGAAGAGGTGAATCAATCGTCCCGCAATGTAGGAAGACTATTCCTAGCAATATTCTCTATAAGAAAGTCATTTATGATTTTAAATGGGTGCCCCATCTCAAGAAACACATTACTATAAATATTAGGAATCTCAGCTGCGAATTCTGGTGTTGTTAGAAAATTGTCATGAACAGTGTAGATTGGTGCTTTCATTAGCTGTATTTGTTCCACTACCTTCATGGCAATATAGGCATCTTTTTGATGAATAAAGTTCACGCATGTAGCCACTTGAGTCTTCCTAGAGTCCCTATCCACCGTAGGCACAGTTAGGCTAACCCGATTTCTTTTTTTGGTGATCCTATTGTATACCCAAATCTCTGCGGTAGAGCTTTTCCTATAATCTTGCACAGTTGTGAGGATGGGCGTACTATAGAGCACTGGTAAATTGGAGACGGAACACCACCATCCAATGAGGTTAAGTAGCTTCATGAGATTAACTATGTCAGGATACTTTTCGTACCAAAATTCCTTGCACAGCTTTGCTATGTGATAGGATTCTATATTAGTAAGCTCATAAAACTGTTTTATATCTGAAGCCATGGTTGTCAAGGTCTTCCCATAAATTAAAGGCATATAGAGCAGTTTGACTATTTTTCTAGTGAGCTTAGATTCTATGAATCCATATTGATTGCGATTCAACTGCGGTTTCAAGAAGACCAGAAGCTCGTCTTTCAAAGACGCATAGATGTCCTGTATTTTCCCATCTGGAGAGGGAAGAATATTCGTGCGTATCCCTAATTCCTTGTTAAGAAGTAGGTAACTCATGATCTGGTAAGCACCAGCACTCGCATCCTTAGTAACAGGAACACAATGAAGAGCGATATCTCTTTCATTAGCCAGAACCTTACCTAAGAATTGGAAAGGATCACTCGCTTGTTTAGCTAAGAGAATGAGGCTCTTGTCTGAAACCATCTTGTCTTGACAGTAATCTCTATACCAACAATAAGCTTGTTCAATGGTCTGAAATTTCTTAAACTTGAAGGCTGCCGCAGCTTCTAATGTAATTCTAAGATCAGGACTTTGTTCCTCTTTATTTTTCTTCGAAGCAGTCCAATCATGAAATGGAATATACAGCTTGCCTCGTCTTTCCCATACACTTGGTTCCATGGGCAAGGGGCTACTTTCTTAGTCAAGTACCTTAGTCTATTGGCCACCAAATACAACCGATTTTCTTTCTTCTTTTTGCTTTAAGCTACAGTTCAGAACTGATCTTAACCTCAAACAGCTGGGTTAGGCTTTGCCCCTTATCCTGTTGGCCCAGCGGCGAACATCTCAGAGTTTGTTGAAGCTTGTGTTGAGGCTGGGTAATACCTCTCTGTAATCTTTTCAATGTCGGTCTTGGAGCTTCTTTTGTTGTAAGCTAAGCTCCACCACCTTATCCCTCTTCTCTGGATTCGCAGAAGTGTCCTAAGCGGTTGACCTATTGATAAGAATCCGTTTTTGAATAAACAATTCAACAAAGAAACGATTCATACTCCTTTCCAACAAGTTCTCCAATGTAGGTGGTTTTCTAGTCTCTATAGAATGATCACTTTAGACTACGAGATCAGGTAACCCCCGAGTTCTACTTCTTTCCGAGTTCCCTTTTGTAGTAGTCGCGTCTGGTGGTATCGTATATGGGATGAGAGGTCGTTCAAGAGCGACTTCTTCCCTTCACTTCTGAAGTTCAGCCTTCAAAAGAAAGCTTTCCTTGCCGTAGCTGTACTTAGCCTTATCAGAGCTGACCTTAAAGCACATCGTGCACCTCCTCTGACAACCGATGAGAAGCAAAGGAGCTGGCTATGAAGGAAGACAGAAGTCAGCCTGCCCAATCTATCTTAGAACTCCCAGACATGTACAAACAAGCAAGCCCACCCATTAGTAGAGTGAGTTATGAGGCTCTCACTCGGAATCTGGTCAACCGGTCACGTAAGCAAAGCCTACCCAGTCGACGAGCTATCAGCTCACCATACAAGCAAGAAGATGTAGCGATCAAGCAAGTAAGGCAGCTAGTTTGAACATTTTCTCTGACCCTCTCCTTAAGGAAAATAGGGTCGACTACTTTTGCAGCTATATGAGAATGAAGTTTTGCTGTTTTCAGATTGTCTTAAGATAGATCTGATTCTCAGAAAGTTGCGCAAGGAGATCTTCCTGACGAACGAGGTTTAAAGCAAGCCCACCTAACCAGTACGCTTTGATAGCTCAAGTCAGAGATAAAGGTCGCAGATATAAGTACCCCGAAATGCCCCGAGGCGGCGTTAGGGCGCGGAAGTGACTCACTCTAACTAGATAAGACTCCCTCCCGAACTACCTAAAGAACCCACCTAATCTTTGATCCTCTCTTCTCTAAAGCCAGTCATCATCGCACGCCTCTTCTGTAGTTGAACAGCTAGCGCGGGAAGTCGGGCACAAGCCACCGCTGTACCTCCAGAACAAGACCTCCTAACCGCTCGGTCAAGAGGAAAGGTTTTAACGAGGCGCCTTACCAAAGAAACAAGCGAAAAAGAGCGGAGTTGAGATGAGAAAAGTCGCAAAGGATAACGAGTGGAGGAGAGTTGATGAAAAGAGGGGTTAGGTTGGGATGCGATTGCGAGCGTTGACTTACATCTTGGCAGACAGGGAAACTTGCTTCTACACCTAATGGATCAAAAGAGACAGGCTCATTAGGAGTCGCATCTAAAATACGAAAGAACACAGACCTCTTTCTATATTGTACCCGTCACCCTATGGCACTAGAGGCATCATTGTCAGCTTACCGCTTCCTCCCGGTCAGATGGATCAAGAGGGAAAGGCAGACCTATACCTAGATTGCGGTTAGACTGTGGTCGTAACATTGATGAGAAGTCCCCCCGGCTGGAAGACTGTGATGAATGAACAGAGGTTGTTCCGGATTGAACTCTTGGAAACTTGCACGTAGAAGGTCGGATCGGAGTTGATGGCTACGCAGCTTGGCTGACTTCCCCGGCCAGATGAAGATGAAAAGCGGAAGAACCAGTTACGTACTGCGTTTGCTCTGGATGGAACGGCACTCTTGGAAGCGAAGACAACTTGCTTGAGCAAAACCGATTCTTTCATCATCTAAAGGGAATCTTACAAAAGATTGATTGACTGCGGTTTGTGCCCTTGTTAGCTTAGCGAACGATTACAAAATGCAATACATCCGGACAATAAGGGTTCGACTTTGAGAGGTTCGGTCAGAGAACCCCAAAAGGAAGGGACGGGTTGTGAGGTCCCAGTACAAGACCAAGGAAAGGAATGCTCTCGCGCAGCGCCACGATAGAAGGGATTCAAAATCTTCCACAGAAAGGATGAATAGCTGAGTCGAGGGAAGAGACCGACCTAGGGGAGGGGTGTAGTGAACGAAGCTGAAACCTGCTATCGGAATGGTTCCTTAGCATGGGAAGGAGTGGCCAGAAGGAGCAAAGTCGGGCTCAGATCCAATTGAAAAAGTGATGCCGGATATCGCTGTCAAAGTGGGGAACTCTATTCAAGCTAGGGAATAACAAGCAATTCACTTCAGAGACCTATACTAAGGCTTTCAAACCTATTCTTTGATCCGCCAGAGGGAATGGACCAAAAATCTTGATTTCCTTTTTATAAGAGCATGGATATTTCGATGGATTGGTCTATGAACAAAGCTGAACACTGACTGTTAGAAGGAAGATGAAGGATGACTAATGCTTCTAATGGGAGAACCATAAAGCGAAACTCCACGCTAGCTCGTTACTGAGTTTGATCTTGACTGATCCTTGAGGCATTAGGAAGCGAAGGAGAGGCCCGATACGAACATTGAATGAATCCTTGCTTGAGGCTCTGCCAACTAGCTCAAGGAAAGGACTATATCTGAAGCTTTACCAACCCCGAGACCCCCCTTTTCCGATCATCTTATAGTTCTCACTCCAAATTGGTAAAAGTGTGTAACGTGGCCATGTTTCCACAGTGGATGTGGATGGGGATACAAACAAGACGGATCTTTTGACACTCAAGCTAGCAGAACAGAATACCAACATACCTGCCAAAACAAAGCAACGAGCTATGGGCCATCCAAGAGGTGGGCCACCAATCCCACAGTCTGGACTGATGAGTTGGTTGGGCCTGTATAGGGTCTATGGTGCCAATACCACCATATATAATACGTAGACATCATCAAAGTCCTCGTTGTCATTTCTCTTTCTTTTTACTAAACTCAAAATATGTGTTGATCCGTTAATCATGCACCCCTCATGAACCAACCACCAGCCAATCATGCTATCCTTACCTTCCAACCAACCCCTTCGATTCCGCTTCTGCAGCAGCATATAATCTCGGACCCTTGATGCCAGCAGCTCAATCTGTTTTGCAGTATGGACAGCGCAAGAATCCGCGGGGCAGCGGTGCTGATTCTTATTTTTCTCGTGACGTCGTCTCTGGGCGGCGCTCCAGACGTTCATAAAAAGAAAAGGCTTGTTCCGCCGTCTGGCCCCAGTCGGCGCCATAATGCTGCAGTCAATGGGCTTGTTCTGTCTGGCCCGACTCGGCTCTCTAATGCTCCAGCAGTAAATGGAGAAAAAAGGCTTGTTCCGTCGGGCCCGAATCCTCTCCACAACTAGTGTCTACAGGGTCCTTGAAAGTAGATTGTAATAGTGCTTCACCCAGTCATATTTGTCCTGGTTGTCAACTGGGGAAGCACACCAAACTACCATTTTCTCTACGCAATAAAAGAGCTTACCATTTTCCTTTTTTTTATTATTAATTATTAAGAATGATGAATTTCTTTATGCTTGTTCCTGAAGTAGAAAGCGCTCCATCTGTTCCTGAATAGCTTCTTTCAAAAGGGCTTCTGCTTCCTCGGTGAATGTCTTGGTAGAAGATATGATTTCTTGGAACTGAGGTTTATTCGTTTTTAAGTAAGTACGTAACTCAACGAGAAATTTCCTTACCTGTCCAATTTCTAATGAATCAAGATAACCATTCGTTCCGGTATAAATAGTCATCATTATCTGTTCTTCCACCGCGAGAGGGGCTGATTGGGATTGTTTAAGCAATTCACGTAATCGTTGACCTCTTGCCAATTGATTCTGAGTAGCTTTATCGAAATCAGAAGCGAATTGTGCAAAGGCTTCTAATTCTGCGAATTGCGCCAGTTCCAATTTTGATTTGCCAGCTACTTGTTTCATGGCTTTAATTTGAGCTGCAGATCCTACTCTGGAAACGGAAATACCCACATTAATAGCAGGTCTGATTCCAGCATTGAATAAATCGGCGGATAAGAATATTTGTCCATCTGTAATGGAAATTACATTAGTAGGAATATAAGCCGAAACATCTCCCGATTGGGTCTCAACTATTGGTAAAGCGGTCATACTTCCTTCACCTAAACGAGAACTTGATTTAGCGGCTCTTTCCAAAAGGCGTGAATGCAAATAAAAAACATCTCCTGGATAAGCTTCGCGACCAGGGGGTCTTCGTAATAGAAGAGACATTTGGCGAGTTGCTTGTGCTTGTTTGGAGAGATCATCATAAATGATTGAAGTGTGTCGTTCACGGTACATAAAATATTCAGCCAGAGCTGCACCTGTATAAGGAGCGAGGTATTGTAATGTAGCAGGGGAATCCGCCGTTTCGGCTACCACAATAGTGTATTCCATCACCCCCCTTTCCTGGAAAGTAGTAACTACCTGAGCCACAGAAGATGCCTTTTGACCAATAGCTACATAAACACATATTACATTTTGTCCTTGTTGATTGAGAATCATATCTGTGGCTACTGCTGTTTTACCGGTCTGTCCCCAATAATGAATTCTCGCTGACCACGTCCTATAGGGATCATCGAATCAATAGCGATAAGACCTGTTTGAAGAGGCTCATTTATGGAACGTCTCGAAAGAATACCTGGAGCGGGCGATTCAATTAACCGAGATTCAGAAGCTGAAATTTCACCTCTATCATCAATAGGTTTAGCCAAGGCATTTATAACACGACCAAAATAAGCCTCACTAACTGGTATCTGAGCAATTCTTCCTGTTGTTTTTCAATGCGGAAACCAGCCATAGAATTTCTGTTTGATTGCAGGTTGTTCGAGAATAGGGTGACGTGACTTGGATCTGGAATGAAAGGATATTCCCTGACTTATGAGGCAGATTCCCCAA